TGATACCACTCTCATTTCTTTGTAATTAACCCCAGGGAAGACCCTTATTCATTCTGGAAATACTTTAAAATACAGATGCTAGACATGGTATAATAGCCTTAAAATCGGAAAAGAATAAAAGATTTTTTTAATTCCTCAAATATTATTGTGTTTTTGTCTCCTTCACATAGCTACACACAACCATCCTAAGAAATTGGTTGCATTACCTGGTTTTTCCACCCTGGTCAAATTCTTTAAAACATATATACAGGAGCATGTGCATACAAATATACAAGGGCACAAACATACCATAGCAATATAAGTACCAAGGAAACTTTGGACACACTTTCATTTACAAGAATGTATTATCTTTCAAACAGTTTCACTCAATTTTGACCATAAAGATAATAGTAATTTTCTTTACATGCAAATAGTTTGATTCACATGCGTGCGTGTGTGTGTGTGTGTGTGTGTGTGTGTGTGTGTGTGTGTGTGATGAGGATTGAACCTAGGGGCCTTGTAAATGCCAGGCAAGCCCCTACCCTATCACTATGCTATATTCCTTACCTTATTTTTATTGAGACAGGATCTCACTAAATTGCCCAGTTAGCTGTGAACTCACACATTCTGGAACCCCAGTTGATCTTGAATCCATTCTGTAACCCAGGCTTACCTTGAGCTTTTGATCTTGCCACAGCCTGCTGAGTAGCTGGTATTATAGGTCTGTGCCACTAGGCTTGCCACTTGACTCCCAGTGGTAACTTTTTAATTTGATGTGCTTATATGCACATATGCAACAAACATGTATGTGCATGTGTATGGGGGCCAGGGGTAAGCTTCTCTAGAAGCTGTCCACAGTGTTTTGTAACTTGGAATTCACCAAGTAGACTAGGTTGAATGGCCAGCAAGTTTCAGAGATCTGTCTCTACTTTCCCAGCACTGGGGTTACAAATGCATGCTACCAAGCCCAGAATCTTACATGTGTCCTAGGGGACTGAACTCAGGTCCTCATTCTTGCTGTGCAAGCATTATAAAGCAAGCACTTTACTGAGCCATCTCCCTAGTCCTATGTGGGTCCACGCTGACCAGCAGCAAGTCCACACCTCACTGAAGGCAAGTGCAACAAAGCAAAGACCACTCCAGGAGCACATCAGAGGGCAGAACTCAACTTTATTTTTCAGCAGGCTGTATACACATAATCATCCAATAACATGAAAGGGCACCCTATGTGGACCAATGGTAGCAAAGGTCATGCTGATCACGCATTGGGGATCATGTGCTGATCACACGCCAGTCATGAGAAGGCTGACCAATCAAATCACAATGGAAGCATGATACACCCTCTGGCCATCTGTGGGGAAAGGTGTAAGGAGGTGCTGCAATGGGGAGGGGGGGAGAAGGGGGACGCCAAGGCACAGTTTAAATTCTGATGCAGGAAAGGGGCCTAAGCTATGGAATGGCCCTGGCAGGGCTAGAATTTGGCATACAAGTCCCCCTTTTTCTTTTATAAAAGCCGATAATTGTTAGGTGGAAGACCATAAAACCCACCTTGAACACATAACGTGCTTGGGCTGGGCTAAGGGTCCCAACCCTCCAACCGTGTCAAAGCCAAATGTATACAGGAGGTTGCCTGCAGGTGTAACTGTTCATGAATGACTTCTGCCAACAGCCATGCCTTGGGGTGGAGAGTCCTCCAACAGCAATTTTTAATGTGCAACATAATCTGTCTTTGAATAATGAAAATATTATTTACATTAAATCAGATTTCTCTCAGGATAAGTTTAGCATTTGTTTTCTTTTATTCTATGTTTGATCCTGGTAGTCTACCATCAAAGTTCTAGCCAGGCCTGACCCTTCTCTGATTCTTAGACCAAGGGCATTCGAGTTGTTATGACCCTGTTTCTCCATCCTCTGAAGCTCAGGATTCATAGGACAGATTTCATTGTCCTGCCTCTGCACCGTGACACTGCTGGACTGTTCATGGTGTTCCCCGACACTCATTCTGCCAACTGATACCAACTGATTAGAACCCATGTAATGATCTAAAAGTTACCAAGAACCACTCATGCCCTTAAAAATGTGCAAAGCCAAGATGCCAGTACTGACTTGATGCAGTATGTCTTTCCTTCCCATGTTTTTCTGTTGAAACATTCCACCCTTGTTTGTATCTTTACAGTCAACATTGTTGTTCCTTTGACAACATAGAAGAGCTCTGTGTTAAGAGAATAGCTATTTTTATCTCTCATACTGAGTTAATTAGCCTCAATCTCAGAAAATATGTTCTTGCTATTTCTTCAAATCCTATTAAAGCACTCTATTTTTAATTTTATGATATTCTGATTGCATGCATTTGCAAAATCACTATTGATAATTAAAGTGGGTTTTTGCTATGGAAAGAGGCATACAGTTTCTATTGGTAGATACTAATTTCTTAAAAGCTAACTAACTCATTGATTTGGGTGATTGAAATATCTTCATGCTGACCAAATTACTTAATCAAAACACGTACACACACACACACACACACACACACACACACACACACACACATACAACAAACTATCACAACTGAACAGGTAATGAAATTTACATTGAAGATGTTTATTACTTTTACCCATCCTGGCAAATTGAACAATCAGGGAAAGATTTACAAAAAAAATACCATACCCATTTTATTATTGTAAAGATTTTCAACATGTGAATATTCAGTTTCAAACATTTCGTTAAGGAAATTATTTAAATCCCATGGAATATGTGTCAAAATAAGAATTGCGTATAATAACAATTGGACAGAGATACAAAAAAATCTTGGCTTCTTATAACTGTGACAAAACACTGGCAAAGCAACTAAAGGGTGAAAAGGTTTATTTTGGCTCACAGTTCATCATGGAAGGGACGTCGAAGCATCATGAGCTTGGTCACACATCACAACCAGTCAGGAAGCAGAGAGTGATGAATGCATGTGCTGCTCAGTTCCCTTTCTCCACTTGCACAGTACAGTATCCCAGCCAGAGGATTGTGCTACCCACAGTGAGTGGTCTCCAATCTTACAATCCAGATAAAGCCCCACAGGGCATACCCAGAGATCTATGTCCCAGGTAATTCTAGATTTGGCTAAGGTAACATTGACATTATCACTAACCCGCACACAAGAGACCTATGAATAATGACCACAGTGCTAATGTGTTTCTATTTTATGAATACTGTACTTCAAATAAAATTCATTATTGTCAAAATGTTTGCCACTTGTTTTGTCATGGATTATACACAATGTTATTTTTTCATATAACAAACTCTATTTGTCATGACTGCTTAAATATCTTTCCCTGTATTATTAAAATTTTGGAAAATAACTTTAATTAATTATGTGTAAGTGTATAAAATTATAATGTTATCATCCCCTGAATGGAGTTCTAGGAAAGGAATCTGAAGATTCCTTATTTCTGTAATTTCTATTCATAGGGGTATGTGTGTCTACCCCTATGAAGGCTCATTTACTCAAACATCCAGACATGATGCTGTATAAAAAAATTCACTGCTAAAGAGCCCTGATTCAATGGATCAAACAATCCAACCTGATCATGTCGCATTGGTTTGATAATGATAGAGGGTGGTCACAGGGAAAAGACTTAGTTATGGATTTGTTATTTTTATGAGGTTTTTTTCCCTGAAGTTCTATTATTGACAAGGTATTGATTATAGTAGAGCAAAAGAATAGTGTGACTATAGGGTCTGTTCTTGACGGTACTGGTGACTGAACCTAGGGTTTTCACACATGCTAGGCAAGTGCTCTAACACTGAGCTGTAGTCTGGGCCCATATATACATAAACAGATTCTGAGGAATCAAACTCAAGATTCTTGTATTTGTGTGACAAGCATTTTCCAACAGAGCTTTGTCACTAGTCCTACAGGTACTATTTAAATGGCAAATTTTGGTTGATTTTAATGGATGTGGACATTTCACATGAACATACAATCAAAGACAACTAACCTGGATAGCCTAATTAGATGACATTTAGCAAATAGAATAAGTGCTATAAATGAATATTGAAAACTGCAGTAGAGTCGGAGCTTAATGATCCATGTATAATGAGGAATTCAGGTGTGTAGTAGAAATTATAATAAAGCTAGACATGGTGGTACATGACTTTAGTCCCAGTATTCAGGAGGCAGAGGCAGGTAGAACTCTGTGAGATTGAGACCAGCTAGGGCAACAGGGAGACTCTGTTTCTAAAAGAACAAAATAAAAAAAAATTATAATAGAGATATTTTATCTATGCTTAATTGAGGATTATTTGTAGAATAAATAGGTATTTATTTATATTTGAAGAACTCTGAGAAAGTATGGTTGATCTAAATCTATGACTTGGTTTTACCTTTAACTGGATTTAGGAAAAGAAAGCACAAGCTATTAGTCAAAAGTTAAACACAGGGCTAAAGTGATGTTTCAGTGGGTAAAATACTTGTTACACAAGCTTGAGGACCTCAGTTCAGATCCCCAGAATCCATGGAGAAGCTGGACCCCGTATATGTGTCCATAATTCCAACTGTCCTATGGGGAGAAAGAGGTGCCTGTGGGTCAATTAGTCCAGTGCATGAAGCAACAAATAGAGACCCTGTTTCAAACAGGTGGAAGGCAAGGATTGACACCCAAAATTGTACTTTAGCCTCCATACATACACATATACAAAGACATGCAGACACATATATGTGAGTATGCATACATGTGTTCACACTTACAGGAACATACAAAGAAAAAGAAAAGAAAAAAGAGTGAAATGGAATTCTTGCTATATGTTATTAAGTATCTGCTTTGCCAGTCTACACTTAACTCTGTAACAATGCAATTTCCCCAGTCATATCATCTTGGCTAAGCATTGTTCTCACACATTTGTTACAAGACCAGACCAGACAGGTACATCATGCTATCACTGGTCACACTGATATGCCCTTCTTTTTAACAATAAAAGTATAATTATCTAGTAGTCTGCTAAGAAGCCTGAATCTCTTTTTTTTAAAAAAAAAAATGTAACGCTTCACCAATTTGTAGGTCATTCTGACCTAGGGCCATGGTAATCTCTGTATCATTCCAATTTTAATGTAAGTGATGCCGACGCAAGCACAACCTTAAGCCCTTTCAGCTTAGTGTTGTGGAGACCTTAGAAAGTAATTCATTAAAATCAGATCACCTAAAGCAAAGTCAGACATCTTGATGTTACTTCAGTTATTTCCATGGTTATCTCCATGGTAGTCTTCTGCCATTCTTTGTGGGACATGCTTTGAGTTGGAGGAATAGTGCAGTATGACTCATCATAAAATGATGAAGCAGAGCAACTTCATTATTACCAACATATATGTACATTCACCTAATTATTGCATAAGTTACTTTTCCTGTTGCTATGATAAAATAAATAAAAGCAACTTCAGGAAGAAAGGGTTCATGTTGAGAAGCTACAGTATCCAGTGAAGAGAGCCTGGTGGCAGGAACAGTAGGCTGGTCACATTACACGTACTCAGGAAGTAGAGAGCAAACAGGAAGTCAGGCAGAGTTATAAAACTTACAGGCAGTTGGGCATGCTGGCTCACACCTTTAATCCCAGCACCAGGAAGGTAGAGGCAGGTGGATCTCTGAGATCAAGATCAGTGTGGTTTGCTTAGTGAGTTCTGTATCAGCTAGGGCTAAAAGAACATCCCATCTCAAAAGAAAACAACAAAACAAAACAAAAGCCTAAAGGTCCCTCACCACCACTAACTCATTTTCTAGCAAGATTTTATCATCTCACCAAACAGCACTAATTGCTTTGGACCTAGTGTTCAGAAACATGAGCCTCTGGGGGACATTTCATATTCAAAACACAACTACTATTTAACATGTTTTCTGCATTAATTTTCATTTTATATATTTGTCACTATTTTCTGTAAATTTCCCAATGCAAAACAGAATAACGACAATGGGGGGAAATGTTGTCAAAATACATTAGGCAGGTCCTATGTATTCTAAAAGCTTACCTACAACACAGGTTCACCAAGCAGATGGAAAGAATTATCTAGGAGTAATTCCTGGACTTGTTTATCATGCACCATGCTCCATTTTATTGTTATTCTCACAACATGTAATAAAATAATCCAACACGTGTCACATTATGTTAGTGAATAATTACAGCTCAGCATGACAGCTCTGTAATTTCTTGGTAATGAAGAATGAAAACAATGAAAACAGCAGGAAAACAGAACCAGAAGAAATTTAAAAACAATTTCTTTCTGATAAAGTGTATGCAATTCACTGTTTTATACTTTAAGTTCACAGCATTCTCATTAGCTTCAGGAACTGGGGATATTCAGAGCTGAACGTCCTTAATGAGCATAAAATTCGGTAAATAATATTAAATAATTTTAAATTGGATAAAAGGGCTGGAATTATAAATACAATGTAAATCACCGAGCTACATGTGGGCACTGTGGAGAAGAGTAAGGAAAAAAAATCCTTGGAAAAAGGTAACATTTCTAGTTTTCTGCATAGAATGTTTATCAAATTCATTTAGAATACATGAATATCAATAACTCATAATGTCACTATTTAATAATGATTTACCATCTAGATACTAAGGTCTCTGGACTGGGATCAGGGCACTTAGCCCTGTTTTCTTAGTATTTAATACAGAGTAAAGTATTTAATAATAACAGTTAAATAGATGAAATATAACAGGACAAATTTTTGTGTCATAACTCTTAGCAAAGATTAAGTTCAGATTTTCTGTTTTTTAAATTTTAATTATTATTTTTATTTTATGTGTACACATATATTGCCTGCATGTAGATAAGTGCACCAGTGTTGTGCAATGCCCGCAGAGGTCAGAAGAGGCTGTCAGATTCCCTGGGACTGGAGTTACGGACAGTTGTTAGCTGCCATCTGGGTGCTGGGATTCGAAACCCAGTCTTCTGCAGGAACAACCAGTGTTGTTTAACCACTGAACCATCTCTCCAGCCCCAAGTTCAGATTTTTTTCTTGAACAACCAATTTAAATCCTGTTAATTTGTGGGAAAGAAAGTTTATGGTTGTGGGATCCCCTGGAACTGGAGTTACAGATAGTTGTTAGCCACCATTTAGGTGCTGTGAACCAAATCCCAGTCCTCTGCAAGAGCAGCCAGTACTCTCAACTGCAGAACCATCTCTCCAGATCCACGTTTGAAATTTTGAACATTTGGGGCGGGTAGTCTTTTTGAGACAGGGTCTCCCTATAGCCCCTGCTGTCCTGGAACTCACTACGTGGACCAGTCTGGCCTTGAACTCACTCGCCTACCTCTGCCTCCCGAGTGCTGGGATTAAAGGCATGGGCCACCACGCCCAGCCTAATTTTGAACGTTTAAAAAAAATATTTTATTTATTATTTTTATTTTATGGTTCTGCTTGTGTGTAAATGCACCCGTGTCGTGCTAGGCCCATGGAGGTCAGAAGAAGGTGTCAGATCCCCTGGAACTGGAGTTAAGGATGACTGTTAGCGGCCATATGGGTGTTGGGAAGTGTACTCGGGTCCTCTGCAAGGGCAGTCAGTGCTCTTAACCACTGAACCAGCTCCCCAGCCTGAAATTTTGAACATTTTTCATTTAGCGTTATAGGGCAAACTCTATAACAAATTTAAGTCAGTAGTTCAAAATATAGTCAAAGCTATCAGAAGAATATCTGCACCTTATTGATTTTTATAATTCCATGCACATAGTGAGAGATAGAAATTCAAATTTTAATATTGATATAGATGTAAGTATTAGTATGATGGCTAAGACAGATTGCCAATTTAAGATCTAGAATTATCTTGGAGACAAACCACTGGCCATAACTGTAAGTTACTAGCTAGATGGGTTAAGTGAGATGGGAAGAAACACCCTTAATGAGGATGGCATCATGCCATGAGTTGAGGTTCCAGACTAAATAGAAAGGAGAAAGCAAGCTGAGCACCAGCATTCCTCTCTCTGCTTCCTGACTGTGGATGCAACGTGAGCAGCTGCCTCCCATTCCTGCTGCAGGGACTTCACCACAAGGATGAGCTCCCTATGTGAGTCAAAATAAACATTTCCTTCTGTTGTGCTTTCATTAAGTTGCTGTGATTAAAGCATTCTGATCAAAAGAAACCTAGAGCAGGAAAGTATTTATGTCATTTTACAGATTATAGTCCATCATTGAGAGAAGTCAGGCCAGGAACACATGTAGGAACTTGAGGCAGAAACCAAGGAGGAACCTATTTCTCTCTTCTTCCCAAGCTCCTGCTTAGCTAACTTTCTTACACAGCTCAGGATCACCTCTCCAGGGAATGGTGATGCCCACAATGGGCTAAACCCTTGTATTAGTCAGTTTTCTGTAGCTGTGATAAAACACGCTGACCCAAAGCAACTTATCAAAAAAGAGGTTTAGCTTATGATTCCAGAGGTAGAGGACATCAAGACAGGGAGGCAGTCAGCAGGCAGGTACGGCAGCTGGAGCAGGAAGAGGAGAGCTCACATCGTCAACCACAAACATCAGGTCAAGAGAACAAACTGCCAGTAGGAGGAGGCTGTGATTTCTCAATGTCCACCCCTACTATAAGCTCCTAAAGATTCCATGATCTCCCCAAACCATGCCACCTACTGGGAACCAAGTGTCCAATTACTTGAGCTTATGGGGAAAATTCTTCATTCAACACAAGAACTCTCTGACACCAATTAACAATCAAGACAGTCCCCCACAGGCTGATCTGATCTGGGAAACCCCTCAACTGAGACTCCCTTCTCAGATTATTCTAGGCTGTGTCAAACTGACAGTTAGAGCTACATAGGATACCGTCTTTCATTTGTTTGCTTTTTGTCAATTACTTTGTTACAGCAATAAAGAAAGCAACTGATACAATAGGCTTAAAATATACTTAGATACTGGAACTGTGTCCGCTTTCTGCCACAGTAATATTTTCAATCACAAATTAAGAAAAGGAAAATGTTTATTTTGGTTCAGTTATAGAGGTATCTACGATCTAGACTACGATCAAATAGATGTGCTTTTGCCTGGGCCTCTGATGGGTGGGTAGCTCATTATAGCAGGAGTTTGTGCTGGAGGTCAGGATGGAAATGAGAGAGGAAACGACCAGAGTTCCACAGGGCATACCTTCAGTGACTTGGTAGGCCCTAGCCCCATGGGCTCAAGACCAAGCCTTAACATAGGCTTTGGGGAAACATTCCAGGTCCTAACTACAAGTGAAGCCATAATTATAACTTCTAAATAGTACAATTCACAAATAATAAAATGTAGAATAATCTAATGTAAAACTAGAATACATGTTTAAACTATGTTGATGCATGAATTTAACATTTCAGTATATATAAGTAAAGATACTGTAAAAATATGAATACATAGAATCTTGCAACAAATAATTCCCTGCATTTTCTGAAATGTTTTTCCTTCTGGAGTCTGTACCATAAAGCTAACATATAACAGAAAAAATCAAAAACTAATTTTCTCCTCACAGCAGCAACTGATATTTCAGATCACCAGTCACCTGATTTATTGATTCACTCTCATTCAAATCATTTTTGTCCTTTCATATTGGGAAAGGATATGGGATTTTAATTACTTTTATTCCTTTTTATTCAGTCAATATCCTTATCCAAGCATCTGTTACATAAGAAATGGTACAGCAAATCAGAAGATAAAGTTCTTTCAATAGCAAGTCTATGTATAAGCAGCATTAGTACAAAGTGTCAATGAGGGGCATTAAAGAAGACTTTAAAAAGCTGAAAGTACTGTTTTCTATACCAGAATATTTACTTTATAAGATCGTGCTCATACCAAATGCATGTCTGAACAAAATGCAACTATATTCAAATCCATAAAAGTGTTTTCCTAGTCTTAGTAATGAGTAAGATTAGTCCAAAGTTTTAGAGAAAAACAATGTTAATTCATCAGTATGAAGAAAATTGAGAAGCATTTGATTTAATCATATCAGAGCATTGACCTAGTAAACTGGGATTGAGTGAAAAGAGAAGAAAATCCAGAAGAGTTGCATTAGAGTAGAAAAGAATCCTTGTCAGACACAATGCTGGGAGAATACCTAAAATTTCAAGCAGAACCCACATGGAGAAAAATCTAGAAATATAGCTC